GAAGACCCCCAATGAGATGGATTGGCCAAGTGGCAGCATCGATGGACTCAAGCATGGCAACAGTAGTGAGGTTGGCCCAGGATCGGGCAGTGTTTCGTTTTGCTGTGCATAAGGTCACTATGAGTCGGTACCGACTCGATGGCACCTAACAACCAGAACAAAATGTATTATGCACATATATTTACTATGTGTGTGTGTGTGTGTGTGTGTGTGCTTCTTAAATAACTCTAAACGTAGAGCAGTTGGTAAATTGACATTTAGTCAACTTATGGCCTTAAAAGAGTCCTTGTGTGATGCTGGACTGCTTGCTAACCACCAGGTCCACAGTTCAAATCCACCAGCCTCTCCTCAGAAGCTCTATAAAGGGCTGCTATGAGTTGGAACCGACTCGATGGCACTTAACAACAACTATAAATGGCCTTAAAATCTTAAAAATCCAAATCTCTCTTCTGTGTTAAGGTACTTCATTTTATTGAGTGTTATGCCAAATTTTTAAATGAGAAAAAAAATTAAATATGGATTTCTTTCCAATTGTTCTTGTTAAGTGCCATTGATTCAGTTCCAACTCACAGTGACCCTGTATAGGATTTCCAGAGCAGCTAGTGAGTTTGAACCACCAACTTTGTGGTTAACTCTGAAGTTCTTATCCTGCAGTACTATATGAGTTTAAATTATGCTAAATTAAAACTTATGCTGAAGAGAACTTCTAAACTAGTCCATATAATCCAATTTATTTCTTCCCTATACTCTTCTTTATTTAATATCTAAATACACAGACTTCCCTCCTCAGCTGTCCTCCCAATTTTCCCTCTCTTTAGTTCTGTGCCAAGCCTGGCAGTAATGCTCAGCTTCCTGTGTGTCAAAAGATGACTTTTGGTCCAAATTTTCTGAATTTCATATAGACTCTGATGGTTAAATGGAATGAAAATATTCCTTTACTAATGGAGTGCTGTTAGTGTATTGGTTACAACCTCAAGGTCAGCAGTTCAAAACTACCAGCTGTTCCTCAGGAGAAAGATGAGACTTTTCTCCTCCTGTAAAGATTTACAGCCTCAGAACCCTGTGCGGGGTTACTATGAGTTGAAAGCAGCTCCATGGCACATAACCACCACTAACAACACCAGTTTCACAAAATCCTGCTATTTCTTATTGATATTCAAACACCTGTTCCTGGCCTGCTTCCAAAGCTAGATCCCTAGTTTCATTTCTGATCAATTTGTGCCTTAGCTAACACAATAGCTACTTTGTTATTTTCTATTTAATCTGTTAGGAACTCTGGTAGTGTAGTGGTTACGAATCGGGCTGCTAACATCAAAGTCAGCAGTTTGAAACTACCAGCTATTCCACGGGAGAAAGATGAGGCTTTCTGCTCCCATAAAAATTACAGCCTCCGAAACCCTGTGCAGGGTCACTATGAGTCGGAACCAACTTAATGGTACTTAACAACAACAATTTGATCTATGATTTTTTGAAATCTGCCTTTTCTTTCTTTGGATGCTAATATTTTTATGACCTTGATCCGGAGAGTCCTGCATAGCTCCAGGTTTTTTGCTGTTTGTCATTTTAAAACTGCTCAAGGACTTTGCATCTTTCCATGCTCCCTTTCTTTTCACACTAGCCTGTTACTTATACCTGGTTTATGTTTTTCACCCTATCTAAGTAAATTTCTGTAAACCATATGAGGCTTACAGAATCCTACAAATTTCAAGCATGATTTAAAATCCCTTACAAGTCCCACTGTCTTACTGCTTCATTTTGAAGGTATACGAGGCCTAGAATGAGGGACCCCTGCAAAGGGAACCAGCAGCGCCTTGTGTGTGCTCCCCAACACGTACCCACTTTTGCTCTCTCAGAGCTTCTGGAACCCAACACTGAGCCAGTCTCTCCTATCACTTCTTCCTGCTTTCAGTACTTACCTTTTTAAAATTGTGTCTCTGTGAATCCGGTTACAGAATACCACTTTATGTGCTAAGTGGTTGCTTTGTGATTGTTTATGATTATCCAACATAAAAGCTGTCAGAGATGCTGACGTTATGACGACTCTGCTTAAACTGAGGCCATAGCCTGACAGTGTTGTCCTTGATTATATCTAGGTGTGTGGATTTGTTTTTTTTTTTATCTGCTGCTTTTTAGCCTCAAATGTGACTCTACCCACCAAAATATATTAACTGCTAAAAGGTATTGATTAACTAAAATATTGGACATGCTAAACTGCTATTAAAATACTTAAGATTTGTATTATTAAGACCTGTTATCAAAATTTTCATTATATGTAAATAATTTTTTATAGAAGCCATTTAAGGAAACTGATACATGTTTTTATAATTTAAAACAAAGGTCCAATTCCACTGAAGGGTTCCATTATTCCTCATTTACCAAGACGTCATTTTGGTTCCAATGGTCAACTTGCTATTCCCTTCTCCTTCAGTCAGTTAAATCAAGATTCATCCCCCCACTTTTCTTCTGGATCCAGTACTTGTGAATTACCTCCTGGAACAGGTGCACTAACGATACAGTAATGCCCTCTTACCGATTCAATATGAGAAAGCATTTCACAGGAAGTGCACCTGTAGGACTGAATTCTAACTGGTGCACATGCCCCAAATCATTTCATTAACAAATCACTGAAATTACATTCATCTTTGTGATCTCTTCACTTTCATAGGATTGATTTTTAGTTGGCTAAATGACTTCATAAAATACGACAGTAGTAATTATCAAATGTTCTCACTAAAATGTGAGTGCTTAAAAAATATGTCAATGATTTTAGAAGCAATGAAGTGAAACAGTAAGATCTTCTGAACTATTTAAGCCTATTTAATACTTTGAGTTTTGCCAAAAACTCAAACTTTTCCAAATGAAATCTATCACGCTAAGCTAGCGTCAATAGTCTACTTTAGGACTCAGAAGTAACTTGTTGCACTTCAAAGAGGGAAAAGCATCACTGTCTCTTAATCACTTTCTTTTCTTTGTATAAGTTAATTTTGTGTTAAATAAGCATCTTTTGGTGGTTTTAAAATCAAAAATTGCAGCAAATATAGTTCCCTTGGTGACATTGTGGACTCCTTCATTATTAATGGTGGTATTTGATGTTTTAATTTATATAGTTGAAGGTCCTCGAAAATTCTCCCTTGTTCAAACTGAGTCTCTTCTGGTAAAAATGCGTTCAGTGGCAAGTGACGAGCTTCACATGTTGATGCAGCGGAGGATGAGTCAAGAGAACCCTATCCGGGCAACGGAAACGGAGCTGGCCCAGCGACTGCAGAGGCTCCTTGTCTTAGCAGTTAACAGGATCGTTTATCAAGGTAGGACTACAGAATAAAGCCCTTCTTCTTGCGTTAGAGGTGTAATCATTTAAGGATGAGTTGATGAGGTTTCAAATTTAGAAACAGAATTTTCATTTCTTAACATCCAAACCATTAAAGGAATTTCTTATTTGAAACTGTTGTTGTTGTTCTTAAGTGCAATCAAATCTGTTCCAACCTATAGCAATCCTGTATAGCTTTTCCAAGGAGCAGCTGGTGAGCTGGAACCACTGACCTTGTGGCTCAAACTGACCTTGCAGTCCAGTGCATGAACCCACAGTGCCAAACCAGGACTCCACTTTGTAATGTATTATATGCTGAGTTTGAAACACTTTGACAGATGCACTTTATTTTTTCAATCAGACTTTTATTTGGGGATAACTGTAGATTCACGTGTCGTTGTTAAGAACTAATGCAGATTCTGTGTCCCCTTTATCCACTACTCCTCAGTGGTAACTACACTACAATATCACTGTGGACTTTGGTGCAGTCCAGATACAAAACATTTCTGTCACCTCAAGGAGTCCTGTCTGATGCCCACTCATAGGCAAACACACTTATCACCTGCCCCCACCCCTTTGTGAACCTTTGGCAACCCCTATAATTGGTTCTACATATCTATAATTTTATAATAGGAATGTTATTTAATCATACAACCTGTAAAGTTTTTTTTTTTAATGTTTTATTGTGAATTATGTGATAGTTTACATGGGAAAACATTAGCTTTACATTCATCCTAATGTATATTGTTTCATTGCCATGGTTACAATCCCCTCTATGCATCTTCAGCCAACCAAGGGTATACCTGCAAGCCTACCTCCCACTCATCAGCACACAGCCCCTCTCCCTCTTTGGATCTAGAGTCCCCAGCTGCTCTATCTCTCCACGTCATCTATCTCTACCCCTGGTGTCACTGCTTCTCTGGACAGGGTCCTGCACTCCACTCTTCTCCCTTGATGGTTCCTTGATAGGACATCAGCTCCTGGACTGCAAAGTGAATCACTCCCTTCCTTTTGCTACAAAACGTCCACCATTACATTTCCAACCCTCGCAGTCAGTCCTGATAACAATTATTCATTATTGTATCACAAGGGACCTATCCTCATCTCCTTTCATCAGCCCCACCCAGACAGATTGCATACTACTCAGTGGAGATTCTACCTTCCTCCGTGTCCTCTAAATCTAGGTTCCCTCTGGAAAGCTTGTAAGCCATTCACTTCTTGCCTTTGTTGTTGTTGCTAAGTGCCGTTGAGTCAGTTCCGACCCATAGCGACCCTGAACAGGGTTTCTGAGACTGTAAATCTTTACGGGAGCAGAAAGCCTCATCTTTTTCCCGTGGAGCAGCTAGTAGTTTCGAACTGCTGACCTTGCGGTTCGCAGCCCAATTCATAACCACTATGCTACCAGAGCTCCTTTGTCTTGCCTTTTTAGCCCCCCATTTTTGGTAGCTAATGTCCAAGTTGCCCATCCCTTCTATCCTATATACCGATGGGGGTGGAAATGATCTTTGCTATAAAGATTTGTTCCCTCTTTTGAGCTACTGCATCCATAGGTGTAGGTCAAGTTCATTAAATTGTATCAGATTACCCTTTTTACTCTCTTCTTTCTTCTAGTTGAGCTATAATCATCCAGTCATTGAAGCCAGATCAAGTGGGTATTATCTGCAAGTGTGGGTGTTCTTATGCATATGCCCTCTCTTCTTTTCAGCTGGATGCTTCACTCTCCACTCTAGTCCTCTGTTGCTATGTCACTGACTCTGGGCCCAGGAGTCCCTAGGTCTTTCTATACTGCTGGCCAACCAGGTCTCCACCTGGGTTCACAGGAGTCTATTGAATGTTGTAGGGCTTAACTTGCAGCTTCATTGCTGTTTTTTCCTCACATCCCCTTATCAGTGACTCACATCTGAGCGCACGTCTGCTCATCTATTCCCACTGAGTCTTAGTCTTAGCAGGGGGTTTGCCCTGAGGGGACCCAACCACTTGCCTTGATGTCTCCTGGGTGAGCAACTTGTTTGTTCTTAATAGTAATCTGTCAGACTGCCGTTATTGTTTCGTATTTTTCCTGTTGGTCTTTCAAGAAGTATCTTCTGTTCTTCTAGCTGCTCCAGAGTGGTCTGCTTATGTTTTCAAGTGGGAATTTCCCACCTCAGAAGATTCTGGATGGGGTTCAGGATTTCACCTATGGTCTTATGCAATGCAAAGGCTCCGCAGGAAGCCTCCTTCACTGGGCACTTTGTAGCCCCATTTAGGTATTCCAATCAGTTCTAGGCAGAAGATGGACTTACAAGCTTTCTATGGTGATATTTCTGGCTGTTCTTTTCTCTCCTCTTGTTGTTGTTGTTGTTGTGTGCCGTAGAGTCGGTTCCGACTCATAGCGACCCTGTACAGGGTTTCCGAGACTGTAAATCTTTACGGGAGCAGAAAACCTCATCTAGTGTCTATTTTATAATGGTATGCAAGGGAAACCAAGATTCAAAAGACAACCAAGCATCTTAACATTGCTTTTGCCCATTCCAACCATGTCACAATCCCTGTATCCCAGAGCTCTGTTGTTCCAAGGTTGTGCATGCATCATTATTTACCTCTGTCCCGCTAAGCCCATGCAAACCTGTCTAATTGTTTTCCAGTCCGCCTTGTTCTTCCATTTCCATCCTCCCTCTTATGGATTGCCCCCCCTCCCCAGCACCCAAACTATCCTATGTCTATTCCCTACCCTATGCTCCACCTTCCTCTCCCTCCCCTCACCCCATCCCCACATCCCGGTAACCAGCAAAGAATCGCCCCCTGTACCCCCACTCCCGCATTAGTATGGGCTCTTTTTCTTATTCTTTTACGTTACTGGTCCTATGCAGTATTTCTCTTTTTGTGACTGACTGATTTCACTCAGCATAATGTCCTCAAGGTTCATCCATGTTATGTGATAGCTTACAGCTTCCTTGTTATTCTTCAAGGTAGCCTAATATTCCATTGTGTGTATGTACCACAGTTTGTTTATCCATTCTTCAGTTGATGGGCACTTTGGCTGTCTTAATCTTTTTGCTGTTGTAAATTGGTGTGCATATATCTACTTGTGTTATGGCTCATATTTCTTGTGGGTAAATACCAAGTAGAGGAATTGCTGGATCAAAAGGCATTTCTATTTCCAGCCTTCTGAGGAAGTGCCATATTGCTTTCCAGAGAGGTTGGACCATTTTGCAATCTCACCAGCAATGTGGGAGCATCCCAGTCTCTCTGCATCCTCGTCAGCATTTATTGCCCTCTACTTTTTGGATCTTTGCTGTTATTGCTGATGTGAGATGATATCTCATTGTTGTTTTGATTTGCATCTCTCTAATGGCTAGGAGCTCTGGTAGCGTAGTGGTTACGAATCGGGCTGCGAACCTTAAGGTCAGCGGTTTGAAACTACCAGCTGCTCCGCGGGAAAAAGATGAGGCTTTCTACTCCCGTAAAGATTTACACCCTCGGAAACCCTGTACAGGGTCCCTATGGGTCGGACCCGACTCGATGGCACTTAACAACAACAACAACAATGGCTAGTGATAGTGAACATTTTATTATATGTTTGTTGGCAGGCCCGGATCTCCTCCTTGGTGAAGTGTCTGTTCATGTCCTGTGCCCATTTTTCAATTGGATTGATTGTTTGTCTTTTTCTTGAAGAGATGTTGTAGTTTCCTATATATTTTAGAAATCAGTCCCTTATCTGATGTGTTACTGCAAAATATTTTTTCTCATTCTGTGGGTTCCCTTTTTACTCTCTTGGTGAAGTCTTTTGATGCACATAAGTTTTTAATTTTTAATATGTCCCAATCATCTATTTTGTCATCTTTTGTTTGTGTAGTTTTCAAAATGTTTGGTAACCTGTGTATTTCATGAATTAGAGCCCTCACATTTGTCCCTATTTTTTTTCTTTGATGGCCCTCATAATTTTGGGATTCACATTTAGGTCTTTAATCTATGCTGAGTTGGTTTTTTTATAAGGTGTGAGGTAAAGGTTTTGTTTCAGTTTTTGCATATCGCTTTCCAGTTCTTTGAACACCATTTTTGAAGAGACTATCACCTCCCCATGTGATATATTTAGACACTTTGCCAAAAATCAGTTGGCTGTATGTGAATGGGTTAATTTCTGGATTCTCAATTCTGTTCCATTGATCTATGTATCTTTCATTGTACCAGTACCAAGCAGTTTTGACCACTGTAGCGTGTAATAAATTTTGAAATTGGAGAGTGAGAGGTTTCCATCCTTATTCTTCTTAAGCAGTGCTTTGCTTATCCTGGGTCTCTTTCCTTTCCATATAAAGTTTGTAGTTGTTTTTTCCATCTCTTTGAAGAATATTGTTGGAATCTGGATAGGGATTGCATTATATGTGTAAATTGCTTTGGGTAGTATTGACATTTTCACAATGTTAAGTCTTCCAATCCACGAGCATGTTGCATTCTTCCATTTTTGAAGGTCTCTTTTGGTTTCTTGTAGTAGTGTTGTGTAGTTTTTTGGGTTTTTTTTTTGTTTTATAGGTCCTTTGTCTCTCTATTTACATATATTCCCAGATATTTCATCCCTGGGGCGGCCACTATATTGCTACTGTAATGTCCTTTTCAGCATGTCATTATTGTTATAGAGGAATCCAACTGATTTTTGTATATTGATCTTATATCCTGCCACTTTGCTGAATCTTCCCATGATTTTTACTGAGTCTTTGGGGTTTTCTACGTAGAGGATCATATCATCTGCAAATAGAGAGAGTTTTACTTCCTCTTTGCCAATGTGGATGCCTTTAATTTCCCTGTCTTGCCGTATAGCTCTTGCTAAGACTTCCAGCACAATATTGAATAGGAATGGTGACAAAGGGCATCCTTGTCTGGTTCCTGCTCACAGAGGGAAGGCTTTCAGTTCTCTCCACTGAGTAATGTAGGCTGTTGGTTTTGTATATATGCTTTTAATTATGTTAAGGTAGTTCCTTTTAATTCCCACTTCGTCAAGGGTTTTTATCAGGAATGGATGTT